CTACGGTTGGTTTCGCTTGCGGAACGGCTGGAAAAACGCAGAATTTGTCCACTCACTACTCATGCACCACAGCAAGGCTGTGGCGGATCGGAGAACGAAAAAATGTCACGCACGAGTCATTTCCGATGCATTATATCATACATATCGCAGTCGCATTCGCCATCCTTCAAAACCGTAGGTAAAAGGCAATATCTCGCACAGCACTCGCAAATGTGGGAGGAGCTAATCGCGTGATAGCTTGGGCGTCAGCGAAATCGACACAACGCTGCCGATGACGCGGGGGACCATATCTTGGTTGCGGTCACAGTAAAGCAGGCTCGCAACGCACACTTGCTGGAGCACAAGTCGCGCATCTGAAAGCGAGTCTCCAGTCTTGTCCATGTCGATACTCAACTGGACGACTTTGCCCGTGACCAAATCGGACCGAACGGTCGCGATGAGATGGTCTTTGAAGCCGGCCTCTCGCGCGAACTGAGCATAGCCGAACTGCTGTGATATGGTGCCCTCCAAAGATGTGTCGCCGGGGGTATCCTCGACAACGCTTTCTTTTGGCGTCGTGTCCAGTTTATCGTCGTGAGCCGACTCGGTGCTGCTGATGGTCTTGATCGGGGTGCGCTTTAGTCGATTCTCCTCCTTGAGTAGCAGCCACTTTCTGTATTGGTTGGTTCGTTTGACGAGCGCCTCGGACGCGATCTCATGCACACGCTGGCGACCACGGTACGAAGCTTGAATCGCAGCCACAGACGTGAGCGAATCACTGGGTACTGTGGCTTGTTTTAGTACTTCTTGCATCCCTGTAGTGTTGATGGGTGAGTTGGATGATGTTTTTGGCTCCTTCATTCGTGCCGCTTTTGCGTTCCATGCCTTCAGCATCGCCTTCTGCTCCGTCCGAGTCATGGCAGCAAACTCCATCAAGGCTAAATATATGGCGTTTAGTTTTTTGTTGTGCTTGCTTGGAACGAATAAAACCACCTCACACCAATTAGTGCACACAGCGTGTTATGACGTGAAGCTAAATCACAAAACCGTTTGCGATCAAAGCTTGCCTGGGCCAACTGCATCCCCAACACCTCGCAAGATGCGTTCGCAAGCTGCGCGACCACCGGGGCCGTTGAGCGTCTCGTCGTTGCACACATGAGCGTCAGGGCTGCCCGAGCAGAGATGAAAGGCCGCGATCGCCAGTTTTGGGTGCCTGGTAAAGTTCTGGGCCGCGGCGATATTGTCGACGGTGGCTTCGTCGATTGCTGTTTCGGCTAGAATCCGGCCGGCAAGGAATTTGTGCTCGCCATCACCTGTCATGCGGGCATTCGCTTTGACCTTGTGTGCTTTTTCAAGCCGCACGACCTTTTGTTCGGGCGTCTCGCTAGCCTTCTCGTCACATAAGACTAAGACATCTTAAATCTGGAGAAATGTAAACGCGGTGTGTACATATTTCTTTCAGTGTCTAGTGAATGTGTCTCACATTCGGCGCAATGTCTGGATCGGTTGACTCTCGGGGCTGAATTCGGTCCAACCGCGGTGTCGAACCCACGCGCGAACGCGAAAGCAATACCACGACAGCGCTGAGAGGTTGGGGACGACGCACGTTCGGCTGGGGAGCCTGTCGTCCACGAGCGCCCACGCTCCTCTCGTGGCGGTGCCGGTGCCAAGCTGGTCAAGCGGACTATACGTCGGAAGCGGGCACATGTGCACCTCAAAGTGCTCTTTCATATCATGGCGGCTATTCACGTCCACTTGGTCCATCCACGTAAGCGTTAGCGAGTACGATGTCTTGGCGACGGCAACTGGAGGCGTCGGCGGCAAGAACGCTATGACGTTTAGCGTAATGTGACTTTGTTACCACAAAGTGGATGTACCGTGCGTCCAAAAGGCCAGTGATGGTGCTCCATACTCACCCCATCCGAGAGCATTTCTCGCCCGGATGCGAAAACTATAGGGCGTCCCCACGGCAAGATCCGGGACGTGCACGGACGAAAACTCAACCGGGATCGAGTTCGACACAGTGATCCAGGGTGCTGTATGGTCCACTTCGGCACCCGAAAGTAGACTTGACGCGACGCGCTCGCGCATCTCTTGGCGCTGAAGCTCGTACGTGAGCACGACAAAGCCATTGCAGCGCGGTGCAGACCACGTTATGTCCATTGTTGTCTGAGATCGCGCGAGCATCGTGACATCGACGGGGCCCTCGGGCGCAGCACCTATGAGCTAATGAGTGAAGAGAAATTTTGGCTCAAGCTACCCTCGGTGTAAAAAACCGGGCTGATTGCGCAGTTGGCGAGGGTTTCCCATGATGGTTCACCAAGGGGTACAAAAGCATAGTGTGGGCGCACTTGAAATTGGAACGCGGTCGCGGGCACGAGGCCTTGTACGCAGTAGCGCTGGCCGTGGATGGTAGATGATACCAGGAGCCAGTCCTGCGCACCCACGAACCGGTACGAAAGCTCGTACATGTCGATGCCATACGGCGAGTAGGGCTTGGGCCATATTAATGTCAGCGACGTTGACGACCTTTCAACCATTTTGGGCGCGTCTAGCCGATGTCTCGTCTCAACGATAAGAGTGGATGATCATACCATTTGTGCAAATCCCATCGCTTACGTCGCCAGCGTCCGACCATCCTGACGCGTTGGCTGCCTTCAAGCGAAAAAAATAGACGCATCCTGGCGTGAGCCCTGATGCAACGAACTCGAGGAATCCGTCGCTTTTAAGATCTAGCTTCGTTGGGTCGCCAACCCAGAGCTGCGTCCACGCGCCGTCTACCGCTTTGACGTCCATGAGAGACATCTATACGAGCTCGACGTTTGGTGACAACTCAATGTGAGGCAGAGATTTACGAAAGCATCTGTCGTGCTAAGGTTGATAGAGCCCGTGCGTTGAACGAGCACAGCAAGCTTTTGAATTTCCAATCCATTGGGTTCAGGCACAGGTAGTAGCATCTACGTTTTAACAACAAATGTCAGTCCACTTACAGGAAACGGGGCGTTGACTTTGATGAATTTGTCGGCTACACTTGTCACACGTGGGGCTTTGGGAGCTGTAGGTACGGACGCTGCAAAACATCAATAAATGCTGTGGTTTTGGAGGTGACACTGCGTCGTACGTGCAGTTGTCGCGAAGAGGTGGAACTGTCACGGCTCCATCCGGCAGCGTTGCCAGCTTGCACCGTAATAACGTATAAGGTGGCGGGCACAAGGTTCTTCACGACGAAGTTGGTCCCGCTGCAGACAGTGCTGCTTGGCTCAATCGCAGTCTCGAGCTTCCACTGAACTTTATACTGCAGTATTGGCGCGGGCATGGTTGTTGATCGTCGGGCTGGCACGACACCGGGCTCCCAGCTCAAGTGCAAGTTTGAAGGCTCGCTCAAGACACACGCCAACCGCGCTGGGGGAGGCGGGGCCCCTAGTTAGCAACACATTTCGTTTACTCTGGACTCAGTCTGCTCTAGTGTGAACCAAACCTTGAAGCAACGTTTGGATCGCTTCGGAAGGAAACTCTTGAACGACATCGTACGGCAGCATGCGGTCCTAACGGAACGAGGTTAAAACATAGCATATCAACAAAACACACGTGGCCGGGACGTTTCGCGGCGTCGTGACGTAAGAGCTGCTCCACACACGTCTGGTTGCCGAACATGACGGCCGTGTGCAATGGGGTTGATTGCGTCTGCAAAGAAATGATGGAGGTACAAGAGCGGCGCAATACCGTGGCCGGGACGTTTACATCGGCACCTGCGCGGATAAGGCGCGCCATGATACGGCCGTCAGGTTGGCTGGCAGCTGCATGCATCGCTGTGTATCCTAGCACCTACATCCCGATCGTCAAGGTTTTGCCATTAGCGCGCGCGGCAAAGCTGCCCGCCAATGTACCGTGTGGGTGCGGTCGATGGGAAGCCCAGCGCGAACAAAGAGCTCGACACGGCTCTCGAGACCTTCACCCGCAGACTCGATAAAGTCATCGACAAGCCATTGTAGCGAAATAGGGTCGTGCATGCGTTTGTGAATGCCCTCTAGTGTTAGAGGCAGCCGCTTGGTCTTCTCAAGTGGCGCTAGCGTCTGTTTTGGTTACGCTACACGCTGCGGTCAAGGCAATAGAGAGAAGGTTGGTGTACCCGCTGCATGACCTTGCGCGGTTGGCGCGCAGCCTTTTGGTCCAGCACAATATGCCGCAGCATGTGCGTCGCTGACGTCGAGTTGGTGTCCATGATAATCTAAAATTACCTTGGCCCTTGAGCGTCTCTTCATTTCGTTAGGTCTGGGAGGGTTAGCCGGGCTACACTACTGTAACGTAGCCGGATAATCCGCCTGCGGCAATTATGAAAAATTGGACAGAAAATCAAAAAGCGCGTTCAGATTCCTTTGGTGGACCCTGCGTTGCGATACTGCGTTGTATTAATACCCAACGTTAATGCCTGAAATTAGCATAAGCTTACTAGTACTACATTGTAGAACACCAGAGAACTTCATAGTAGTTCAGGGAAATTTGATCCATGGCCAGTGAATTCGTAGTGTACGTATTCGTAGCTCATTGGCACTTGAGGCGGCAATATAATTTACACATTCGCCCTGAGAGACCCGACGTTGTACGATTTGACGCTCCTCGACGTTGGACTAACGTTACACGAACCTTGGAGCCAACCACAACTAGACGCCCCGAGCACTGATTGGCTGATTTCGTCTGGTAATCTTGGCGGGGCTCAGTTTCGAATCGGCGGTCATGGTGGAGCTAAGCATGATCGTTGCTGTCGCGCGGGCCACAAACGGCATCGGCATCAAGGGCCAGCTGCCGTGGCGCCTCGCGGGCGACCTCAAGCGCTTTCGTGAGCTTACGACGTCGACGGCCGACGCAACCAAGCAGAACGCCGTCGTGATGGGCCGCAAAACTTGGGAGTCGCTGCCACTTAAGCACCGCCCCCTGCCTGGGCGCGTCAACGTCGTGCTCTCGCGCAACCCCGCAGTCCGCGCAGCGCTCTCAGCGCAGACAGGAGTTCTTGCCGCCGGGAACCTTGACGAAGCTCTCGGCGCTCTCACTGGCGTCGAGCATGTTTTCATCATCGGCGGCCAGAGTTTGTATGAAGAAGCCGCACAGCACCCGCGCTGCACACGTGCGTACCTCACGCTAGTTGATGGCGAGTACGAGTGCGATGCGTTCTTCCCCAAGTCGCTTGCATCGTGCGGCTTTGCTGAAACGTCGGTGTCGCCGGTTCAAATTGAGAAGGACATTTCGTTTCAGTACATCCAGCTAGACCGCAAGCACGAGGAGCTGCAGTATCTCGAGCTCATTCAAAAGATTCTCGACGAAGGTGTGCACAAGGGCGACCGCACAGGCACGGGCACGATCTCGCTCTTTGGCGCACAGGTGTCTCTCCTTGGTTGACGTCGCTCAAAGTCTCACCTCGAGTGGTTGTAGATGCGCTTCAGTTTGCGCCACGACGTATTTCCCTTACTGACAACGAAACGCGTCTTCTGGAAAGGTGTCGCTGAGGAGCTGCTTTGGTTCATCAGCGGCGACACGAATGCCAAGACCCTGCAGGACAAGGGCATCAAGATTTGGGACGGCAACGGCTCGCGCGAGTTCCTTGACAAGCACGTGGCAGCATATTTGTGTATTAATGTTCCTCAACGCCGTCGCGTAGGCTCGGTCTCACACACCGCGAAGCTGGTGATCTTGGGCCTGTCTACGGCTTTCAGTGGCGCCACTTTGGTGCCAAGTACGTCGACATGTACACCGACTACACGGGTCAAGGTGTCGATCAGCTCGCGGACGTCATCCACAAGATCAAGCACTCACCGAACGACCGCCGGATTCTCCTCTCGGCGTGGAACCCATCGGGTGTGTGCATTCTTTGTTGCATTTTTGCTCATATAGACGACAGACCTGGGGCTCATGGCACTGCCGCCGTGTCACATGTTTTGCCAGTTTTACGTCGCAAACGGTGAGCTTTCATGCCAGGTGCAGTATGCGATGCCTTGTCATTGTGGGGTTCAAAATAGTGTTTTTAGATGTACCAGCGATCGGCTGACATGGGTCTCGGCGTACCCTTTAATATTGCGAGCTACGCACTCTTGACGCGCATGATTGCGCAGGTGTGCGGCTTGAAAGCTGGTGACTTTATCCACGTGATTGGCGACGCACACGTGTACTCTAACCACGTCGAGCCGCTCCAAGAGCAATTGAAGCGGACGCCCTCTCCGTTCCCGATGCTCAAGATTAACCCAGCCAAGATGGACATCGACAAGTTCACTTTCGATGATTTTACGATTGAAGGCTACACACCCCAGAAGACGATCAAGATGGAGATGGCCATCTAGAGAAGCTGCCAGAAAACGGGGCCTGAAATGACGCACTTTGAAATCCTGCAGCACATAGTCTTGAATCCATTGCACTGTATGACCGTACTATCAATGCCTTGGTGGTAGGCTCATTTCCTCGTGGGACGAGACTCCCTCCACCGCACGGCGGGGCAAGCGACAGCTATATGCGACTCTATGTTGCCCGGATCTTCGTTGACATTTTTCGTGGGTTGCGGCTCAAGTACCGGTAGTTGGATTATATTTTAGCTGCAAGACAACTACTGGTATGCTACGAACTAGGACCGCTTGGCGTCGCGCACCTTCTCGTAAGCCGCAGCAAGAAGTGCTGGTCCGAGACCAAGGAGGTACACAAAGGCGTAGGCAAAGAATGTACCAGCGTGCACCGGGTGGTCCATATCCAGCATTGCCTTGGCCCAAATGTGCTCATAATAGTGCACGACGACACCCAGGGAGACCAAGACGTGCACGGCACCCGCAACTTGAACCTTGATCGGTGCTGCGCAAAAGAGGAAGAGGACACTTGTGCCAGAGTGCACAAGGAAGAATCCAAGCATTAGGAGCTGCAAGAGGATGTAGCCGCTGGGGCTGCTCGTCTGGAGACTGCGAAAAACGTCCGTATCAAGCACGACGGACGACGCACCAACAGCCCCAAAGAAGCACATGGCGAGGAAATTGAGGACAAGGACGACGTGTTGCGCTTGGATGCGACGCTGGAGGCTGCGGACAAAAATCGCGACGACGTATATAGGTGGTGCCATGAGCACGCCAACGACGACGACGGTTGCAGATGTCGCATGCGAGTCACCGACGATCGGCGCGACGTTGGAGCGAATGTTTTCGTGTGACTGTAGTAGCGCGTTCTTGCCTTGAGCAACAGCGGCAGCGACGTCTTCAGGCACGCGAATGACGGAGCGGGCCTTGGCAAGCGCAGCTTTGAGCTCTGGACGCATCTCGCCAAGGTCGTTGCTGCGCGCTGCTAGGTAGTCTGCGAGCAGTGGATGGGCAAGGTGATCAAGTGCTTCGTTGTGGACCGCACTTAACGCCTTGTGCTCGTCTTTCTACGAACCCACATGTGTCAGGAAGTATAGACTGATGACACACGTACAAGATGCTCGTAGGAGGCTAGCATCTCGCCGACGTCGTCGCGATATTTAATGACATCTTGTTGCAGAGAGAGGCCACGTGCAATCTCTCTTGCGAGTTCTGACTTCAGCAGATCGACGGCTTCTTGGTGCTCGCGCAGCTCGGCTGACATGGTAGCCTGCGCGGCCTTGTGAACGCTGACCTCTTTTTCCACGCTCTCACGTCTCTCAACTTCCTGTGCGAGAGCTGCAATGTGCTGTCGTTTGTACTCGGTGAGTGCTTGCTGAGCCTTCACACATGTACGCGCCTCTTCCAAGAGCTTCGTCTCGGCCATTTGGGCCAACTCATCGGCCCGCTTGACTAAAGTGGCCCATCTCTTATACATTCGCGACGAGAAAGAGAAAAGCTCACCTTTGGCCGTGAGATCTTTGATTTCTTCCATATGAAGATCCGACGCGGTCTCACAGGCGGTCACGGCGCTCTGGGTGGTTGCGAGTCGGTCGGTGAGCGACGCGATCTGAGCGATGTCTTCCGGCAAAGAAACACACGCCGATGCGGGCACGACACCGCCTTCAATACCGACTGCAGCTTCATCAGCCACTGCAGTCAAGACACGAAGCCAGACAAGAAGAGTCACGCAACGGACGCGCATCGCAAAATCTCAAGCTGATGCTGGAATAGATCTGCGTTCTACTTTTACGACAAACGCCCACCGTTCAACGGCCCCAAGATCGGTTTCTCCACATTTACAGTTCGTTGGTACCAGCGGTTTCGCCTCTTGCGTTGCCACGATCCCTTCGCGGTGGTAAGTGCACCGCACAGGGGTGGATAGGTGAGTGCACACCCGCCTTTTCCTCCCAGTACTCTCCTCGCTTATCCCTCCTCGCTTATCCCGTGCTTGAAGCCGGCGCCTGTTTGCACTCGCGTGGTTAACCGTGCTAGAACCGGTACCGTGGAAACACGTAGGGAAGCATCGCGGATCCACGCACAACTGTGCCACCCTATAGTCTCTGCTGTCTAGGCCTGTGTGCAATCGACGGAGTAAGTCGCAATCACCTGCCGCAGTGTTATGCGGGCCATTGCAGTGGTTTACTACAGACGTAGAGAACGCTAAAGATATGTGAAATGTCCGAAACTCTACGTCCCTTAAATGAAAGTACTTCATACAAGAGATAGCGAGAGGCCGGTTGCTTAGCGAGCAGAGGGGCTTTAATCCTCTCCTCCTTCGATGTCGCTTCATTATCAAGACAAATGCGAATGGTTCAAGTCGCACCGACTAAATTGATGAAGCCAACTGCCTACGTTTCTACTGCTAGCACTCAAACGGCAAATGTCAACCTATTTGACAAGTGGCGAAAACCCGACAACGGAGGACCACCAGTTCCACCAGCTGCTATGCTGTGCTAACAGTATTTTGAAGTCTGAAATCGTGAATGGTGTGAGTGATTTAACGGACCAATCAGAGCGCAGTGTCCTATCACCATTTCGCAAGATGGACGCGACGACGGAGAAGCGGTGGCTGACCGACGGCGAGAAAGACGGCGAGCATATTGCGATCGTGAGCTACCCACGGTCTGGCAACTCGCTTATGCGCGGTCTTCTCGAGAGCGTCACAGGCATCTATACGGGCTGCGACACCCAGCCCGACCGCAGCTTGAGCGTTGAGCTCCAAAACTATGGCATGAAGGGCGAGGTACCAAAACTATATTCCCCTGCGTCAACTTATGCAAACGCAGGGCGTCGTCGACGAGTCCGTGTGGTTCGTCAAGTCTCATTACCCTGAACGATCTGGCTATAAGCCCGTGGCTGTGCACAAGGCAATTCTTGTCGTGCGCAATCCTTGGGACGCAATCAACTCGTACTTCAACATGACGTTGACCAACAGCCACAACAAGAGCGTCCACGACTCCCAATACGATCGCTTCGCGGAGCGCTGGGACAAGATGATCCAAAACGAGATCCAAGTTTGGATCCGGTTTCACCAGTATTGGACAACGCGCGTCGACATACCGATCATGGTCGTGCGCTACGAGGACCTCATGGTCAATCGGTAGGTTGCACAAAGCCGTGACTCAATTCTTATATCGGCTCATGACGCCTTGATGGACGCTAGGCGGGAGTCGCTACACCGAGTGTGCAAGTTCATTCTGGGAAAAGAGCCCAAGGACTCGCTTTGGGTACGACGTGACTTGCGGTGTTGATGACTGAAGGGCACGACGTAATTGATGCTCAATATCGTATAGGAAACAGAGTGGGGCGAGCGAATCACATCCGTCATCGCTGCAGACGACGCGGGGCCGTACAAGCCACGCAGTGGCAAAATCGGCGCGTCCTTTCGGCATTACTCGCCAAGCCAGTTTCAGCATTTGTTGACAACAGCGCGGCCACTACTACGCCAATTTGGCTATGACACGGAGACGCAGAATTTCCCCGAGACAATCCCCCTACCGAACCGCCAGGTGAAGCCTGGCAAGTGTGATGCCAAGCCGCTCGTTCTGTCGGCTGACGGCCTCGAGCTGCGCGGTCGCAACGACTCTTTCGGTCGGCTCTCGACATGGTTTCGCAAGACGCTACTGGATCCTGTCGTCGCAAGCGACGGCACGGAGCTGAACATGGACGAGGTACTCGCCGCTCGGGACCGGAAGCGCCAGAAGGACGAAATGGACGTGCTGTTGGCCAAATAGACACTAACCTAGAGAATTTAAGTGCTTTTATTTGTGGGAAACAAGCCAATCAGAGAGGTTTAATGCGCACCCATCTCAGGTCGGATGCTTGGATTGGCCGCCGACCAGCCAGTGAGCGAGGACGAAGAAAGATCTGCAGCTGGCAAGAAGCATTTCCGATTTGGACGGGGAAAGATATGGAAGGACAGCGAATCCGCAGCTTCTCGCTGGACGCCGACGAGCATTCCCACGCGTACACGCCGTTCTTGCCCGTGAGCAGCGCGACGCCGAACCGTCTCGGCACCTTCAATGTATGTGCTATGACGCCCCTCTCGACGAATAGTGACGTTGGGTAGGGTGTCTACGTGCCCTGCCTCCTCAACATCATCGGCGTCATCTTGTTCCTGCGCCTCGGCTGGGCAATCGGTCAAGCGGGTGTACTCGGTATGCTTGGTATTTTCGTCATCGCCGAGGCGCAGGCGGTGCTCACTGTCCTTGCGGCGAGCGCGATTGCGAGCAACGGCAGCATGCGCGGTGGCGGCTCGTACTATCTCATCAGGTTCTACCATCCGAGCATGCGAGTGTGAGGGATATTTACATGTGTCTAGTCGATCGCTGGGACCCGAGTTTGGCGGCGCCATCGGGCTGCAATTCTACATTTTGTATGCATCCGGCGTAGCCATGTACCTGGTCGGCCTCGCAGAAGAAGTGCAACAGACGTGGCTTGTGCATGCTACGTGGGAAAAGCACCACGTCATCATTTCTATCGCTGCCATTGCACTGCTTTCGGTGGCAGCGATCGCCCTCCTCGGCGCGCATGCATTCGCCAAGGTTAATCAGTACCTCTTTGTCGTTCAGTTTGCCTGTATTGCCTATGGCGCGGTACGATGCCTCTACCATCTACCATCGTCATCAGTGATGAGAACTGTGGCCTGCTAGGTGGAAATTTGCCTTGCAAAGCCCCATACCTTGGCAAGCGGCGGGCAAGTCACGGGTCCATCGATGAACACGATGCGGGACAATCTGTATGCCAACTACACAAATGAGCGCGATGCTTGTGGGCTCGGTCAAACGTGCAACTTTGGCGCTGTCTTTGGTATTGTTCAGCCCCAAAATCATGTCCCATGACAGACACGGTGACGCTACGTAGCTGTCGTGTTCCCGCTCGCGACTGGATTCATGGAAGGTCTCAACCTATCGGGTGACCTCAAGCATCCTGGTAGGACCTCGACATTACAAATACGTTCATAATGTGCGTTGATGTAGGCAAAAGCATCCCTGTTGGCAGCTTGGCAGCGATTGGAACGGCGTGTGTCATCTACATCTCGCTTATTCTTCTCTTCGGGAGCTCGTTTCCTGGCGCGACGTTGCGAACCAACTATACTTTTTTTCAAGAAGTCAGTGCCTCGCCGCTTGTCGTCGTCACGGGGCTTCTCGTATCGTGCTACACGTCCGGGCTCGGTGCACTCTTTGGCGCCTCGCGCATTCTTCAGGCAATCGCCCGCGATTCGCTCTTTCCAGGTTTTTCCGTCTCCATCTTGACAGATTAACGGGTGGCACATGCGTTAGGTATGCGCTGGCTCAAACAAGGCTCGGCCGTCGGCGATGAGCCTCAAGCCGCAGTGCTCTGCACGACACTTCTCTCGTTTCTCTTCATTTTGGTCGGCGACCTCGACGTGCTCGCTCCTATTTGCACGTCCTTCTTTTGCCTCGCGTACGCTGCCGTAAACTTTACGGCCTTTGCGCTGCAGATCTCTGGCGTACCCAACTTCCGACCGACATTCCGTGGTAGCGCGTGGCCGCTCTCTCTTGCGGGTGTCGCCTTGAACCTTGGAGTCATGGTCTATCTGAACGCGCTATACGCGGCCGAAACGCTACTCGTGCTGAGCGTCCTTTTTGGCTACCTCTACATTGTGTCCCCGTCGGCCGGCGTTGGCTGGGGTAGCCTCTCGCAAGCTCTCTTATACCACCAGGTACGCAAGTATTTACTGCGGCTGGATAGCCGAAAAGACCACTGCAAATACTGGCGGCCGTCCCTTCTGCACGTGCCCGCCAGTATGTCAGCGCACAGTGTCTTTTTTTGCAATTGGCTAAAAAAAGGCGGCCTCTACCTCGTGGGTGACGTTGTTCTTGGTACCGTCACCATATCAACTGTCGCGACGACCCGGAACAAGTACATGCAATGGCTCGCATACCTCGAGACGCACCACATCAAGGCAATTCCACGGGTACCTTCGACTGCTCCGTTCGCTTCTCTCTTATCGTGCAAGGAATAGGTGCTTGTTGCCCCGTCGTTGCGGGACGGATACCGCAGCCTTCTGCAGCTTGGCGGTCTCGGCGGCATGGACGTCAACACACTCGTGTTGGACTGGACACTGGTACATATGCAGCACTTCAGCACATTTTAGCGCGCCAGTGGTGTAGGGACCGGACCTCGCCGCCGTCACGTCAGACGCACTCGTCTTGCAGAAGAATGTGGTGGTCCTGCGCCACGGCGACCGACTTTCGCTACTCAGCGATAAGGCACCGTGTGCCATGACGATTGACGTTTGGCTTATGACGGACGACGCACTGCAGCACGTTACACTCATGCTGCAACTCGCGCATGTGCTCAAGGCAGCCGCGCCGTGGAAGCGGGCATCGATCCGCCTCCTGCGCGTCGGTGGTGACGACAGCCAACAGGCACTTTTGGACCTTGCTGACGACTTGCGCATTGATGTCCGGCCCGAAAACGCGATAGTGCTGCCCCGCGGCCCCACGCAAGACTTACAGCACGTCCTCCTAGCGCACTCGAGCAATGCGGGTCTTGTCCTACTCGCACTGCCCTCACAAGGGCTTGCAACGAGCATGGACGCGGTCCTCGCGGCGATGGACGCTATCACAGTCAACCTGCCGCCCACGATGCTCGTCCACTGCGCTCAGGAAAATGGTGTCATCACGACATGCATCTAGCCCAGCATGCGTGCGAGAGCAAGTGAAATACACACGCATAGCTTGTCGGCAGTAAAGTCAATGTATCTGTCGACCGATTATATGTGCACCTACATCGTACTACTCGTATGCAACGGCTCGTCATTGGGCGCTTCCTCCATGAAGACGCGGGCGACAACACCCAGCATTGAGAATCCGAAAGCCATACCAATGCCCCAGAGAAAGCTCTAGAATCGCATAATATCAACTCCACTGTAAACGCTACGACCATCCGTACCGACTTGAGTTCTTGGCCCATCGTTGGTGGTCGTGGTATCTCTGCTGGCGCTTGAGAGTACTCAGCAGGCGCAGGCGCCTCCGGCGCAACCTCGAGCGCGTCACGCTTTTCGGTCTTACGCCGGGACGCGGACGCGGGTCGGCGTGCGGGCAGCGGTCGCCGGCCGACACCTGAGCTCATCATCCGCCGCAGCATGCTTCTCCACCAACTCGAAACGTGAATTGTGTTTTTTTATCCCGAAAAAACAGATCCCATACAAAATCTTCAGCCCGCGGTGACGTAAAACTAAAAATGCGAAGACCCGCGACGTCAGGATGGCCGCGACCGTCGGCCGCTGCCATCGGAAGTCCCTGCCGCCCTTGCCTCCGCCCGCACGCTGTGCAGATGCGCTCCCTCGTCCTTGTCGTGCTCGACTAGGCAACACACCCAGAAAGGGCCCCCGGCTCTATTCCCACGATACCCTCCCTTGGTCGCCGCGCGCCGCGCGGCGACTGACGGCTGTGAGGCAATTTCTTTCCCCGACATAGATTCTGAGAGGCTCAGCACACCACTTCTCGGAGTTTATAGTTGTTGACAGGTAGTAACAATCATATCTCAATAGACTCACTTCAACAACAACGTAAAACTAAAAAACGCGTTGGCTTACATGTTAATCGTCCCAATCCGAGTCACCATCGTCATCGTCGTCGTACTGGGTCACATTGAGGCGGCTTGCCATGGCATGCGCGATGCTGTCATGGATGCTCGGGGCTGTTGCGAGTGGCGGGCGCGGAGCTACGGGAGGCGGCGTTGGGTGTGCGCGAACGGGACGCGGCAATGGGGCAGCGCGGGCCACGATGGGCGTCAGTGATTCGTTTCCGTCGACGGACTTGAGTTGTGCGCCCTTTCGGATGGCAGCAAGAAGATCCCCGCGTCCGGCACCACCAAATGGGCTTGGACGAGGTGGCGGCGGCAAGGGTGTAGTCGATGGAGCAGTTGGCGACGATACAAAGAATTCGCGGTGCGACGGCCAACGCTGCGGTGGTTGTGTGACTGGCAGCTCCGATCGCTGCGACGTTGGCCGCTTTGTCTTGGTCGCGGTAAAGACAGGCTCCGGAGTTTCAACGGAAACAATGGATGCTTCGTCGTCGTCCGAGCTTGCGTCCTCAAAAAGGTTGCGGGTGGAGGTCTTCGTCGCGCGCGTTGGAACTTTGCAACCCGCGGTGGGCGCTGTAACAGTGACGACACCAGCGACGAGACTTGACGCCCACTCGGGTGGGAGCGCGAACGCTGCATGGAAGGCGCTATGCTGTACGAGGCCGGGCACAGCCAGGAGGCTCTGGAGATACCGCGTTATCTCAACTGCGCGCTTCTGCATCAAGTCGGGTTTCGTTGGGTTCCGAAGCACATGCTTGGACGGAAACTTGGGTAAAGTAGCACTGTGCACCTTGAGCGCCTGGTGCATTGCTTCAAGCTCATGGAATGCCAGCCCGAGACGTCGGCTCCATGTATGGAGACGAAACTCAAACGTGTAGATGGCCACGGCCTTCCCACTGCGCGTCTCAACGGCGCTTGCTAAGTAATCCACCGACAGCACGGCAGGGAAGTTCGATGACGCATGCTCGATAGCACCTGCAGCGGACTTCCCCTCGTTGTCTTCCTCGTCGCCTACGAAGGTCGTGATTCAAAACGATTGCCGTTCAATGTAGTGCGCCGTAGCAGAGGACAGATTTAGTACCTGCGGTGGACACGATTTTGTTGGCTTTGATCGACTGGCGAAAGACAAGCGCGTGATTCTCATCGTCGTCATCATCGCTGCTGTCGAAGAGACCCTTGCGCTCGGGTTTAAGCTTGTCGGACGAGAGCGCGCGTGTCAGCAGCTCCTTCCCCTCGGCACTGAGCTGCGACTGCCGTGAACGCGACGGTCGCTCGCTATCGACGCTGTACTTGCGGTTCCGCTTGATCGCATCGAGGGCTGCTGCCATCGGATTGGTCGGCCGCGATAAGGAGGCTGTAGACGTCGGCGTTTGCTGCGGTGGTGGGGGTGGCGGTGGAACGAACCCGCCGCGTGGCTTGCTTGTGACGACAACGCTGTCTTCAGAAACACCAGACACAGACGCATCGTCATCGTTGAAGACCGAGTCTTGCGACGAAACGGACCCCGTGGACGTGTCCCGCAGGGGCTTCGGGTCTTTTGTGGACACGAAATCTACGGCGCCAATTTGTGAGCGAAACCAACCAAATAGCTGTCAGCTATTGTACACTGGCCCGGCGCGGGGAGGTCGAATTTGAATTTTGTTTTGCGGGGTAAGGCGTCGGGAAGAAGGGGTGGCACAGCGGTGTCGAGCGACTTGCCGCCAGCCATCATTTCGAGGCGCCGACGTTGCGCCTCCTTTCCGACGCGACCTTGCGCGACCTTCTTGTTAAGTCGCTTCTTGCGCTCGCGCAAAAGCCTTTCTGTCTCTTCGTCGAGCGTGCCGAGACCGTCCTTACGCTGCAGCGGGGTCATCTCTTCAATTTCTCTCTCGCGGTCGAGAAGCTCTTGTTTCTTCTGCGCTATCCACAGTCGCTTTCGCACTTCCTCGCGGTCCTTGATCTCTTGCTCCTTCTCGTGCTGCTTGCGGATCTCGCGCTTTACTTTGCGTCGCTCGCGCTTGATCTCGTTGGCGGCCTCAGAGTTTGGATCAAGGACGGCGATAAGCGCCCGGCACCAGCGCTCGAGGTCCAGCCGGTTCTCAGCCGCAACGTACAGCGAGCGCTTGTCCTTGAGCTGGAGCTCCAGGCCGTATGAGTCCAGCGGCAACACCCCGAGACCTTCCCACTGGCAAAAGCCACGAACCGAGTACGTTGTGGCACCTGCACCCTGGCTGGCTGCGGACTCGGACGCAAACATACGTAGCTGGGAAGACCAGGAGAGCTGACAAAACTGCACCTGTAGCACGCCGGCAGCGGGCGGTAACCATTGGAGGTACCCCTCGTGCACAGGCTGCTTCTTATCCATCGTCGTCAGCGGAGATGTGAAGGCAAGGCAAATTGCGTCCGGATACGACGCGAAACTTACGTCAGCACCGCAATTAGTGTTACTTTGTGTTCGTCATGGTTTTGCGCTTGGCTTGCCACGAACCGATACTACACGGGTACAGTCGACAGGACGCCCGCTTGCGACCGCCCTGCCGTGCGACCGAGTACATGTATATGTTGAGTAGTGTCTTTCAAATTAAAGCAAACAGGTTCCGTGCGGTATGAGCTGACAGGAACTCTTTGTTTTGGACGCAAATGCGAAGCGTTGACAGTATGTTGGCCTACCTCAACACACGTCTGTACCCGACCTTCGCAATGCTGCGGTGCGCAGACTATTCTGGGGTACCCGTAACGCGCAGTCGTCGCTGGGTGCATACCGGGTTCAGTACTACTAGTAGCACAAAGCGGCACCAATCTCAGCCATTGCCAAGCCCGAGTGTGGACCGTAGGGCGCCCATGGCACCCCAGCTGTACCGTACCGCCACAGCCTTGGCTTGGGAGACGAATAGTATGTTATAGCTAGCCGTGCAAGGTGCCTTGGAATGCTGCAAGTTACTGCAAAGAGTGCAAAAGTCAAAGTGATTGATCTTAGACGAACCTATCCTATCGTGCTAGTATACGTTCGTCTGTGGCCCATCTTGATGGTTGGCCTTCGTGCCTTGAGTGAGGACGAGTGGAGCTCGACGCTTCCATCGTGGGCCGGGCCCGAGTCACCGGCTGGAACCCCGTTCGCTCTCCGGCCGGTCCGTGTAACCGATAGTTACACGGTGGACTCGGTGCCGGGGACCACCTTCTGACATAGTAGTCCTCTCAAGGTCATGCGGCTCGCCAGCTACGGTGACCACATGACGCACACGGTCAAGCTCAGCGCCGACGCCCGCCCGGCAAGCGCCCTTGGTGTTTCCCCCGCGAGCTGCTGTCGGACCCGGCTGTCGTCGCCATGATCATTGGCGACGACGCCGAGGGCCTACTGCACGAGCTCCGGGCTGCACCCGATGGCAACATGGGGGCCATGTGAGCCGGGTGACTCAGACGTATGCGGAATCGACTCCAACGGCGCCATTGGAACGCCCGCGACGAGTTGGCCCGGGCAATGTGGACTCGCGACCTTCGGGGACATGCCGCTGTCGCACCAGAGCGCCAAAGGCGTCGAAGCTGTCAAGGCAGCCCACGACGTCGCCAAGGCAGAGCTGCGCCCAAAAGTATTTTGACGTGCAGTTCGACCTGCACGCCAACATGGGTGAGACGAGTAGCACGTATTTTACCGCAAGCCCCAGACGATGAAGGTCCCAGTCCAGTCGGCAACGGTTGGCGCCGACACCGTGGCGTCCATCTTCACAGAGCACTAGACGTCCATCATGAAGGCACCGCCGGCAGTACAAGGGCCCAACCGTGCGACGCGACGCGCCGTGCCGCGTTTCCTCGAAAGGAAATTGACAGCCGAGCAACGAGCCCCCAAATTAATGATAAACCCGACAAAGTCACCCAGACCTGACGGCTTCAGCGCAGGCTTTTTCCAGGTCGCGCCCAGAGATCTTCAGCGAGATCCTGCTGATTGTGTTTGAGTACCAACGACAGCACCGTCGGACGCCAGCGCCGCAGCGACATCGTCCTGCTGCTCAAGAAAGGCGACTGCGGTGACCCGGACAATTACCGTTCGATTGCGCTCATGGCGGTGAAGGTCAAGATCTTGTCGTGCGCGCTCCCGTAATATTTGTCGGAAGTGGCGCCGTCGCTTATCTCGGCCAGTCAAGCAGGCTGTGTCCGCGGCCGGAGCTTCAACGACCAAGTGCACCTGCTCCACGAAGTTTATGTACAAGGGGCAAGTCGTACAACCGATGCTGAGCGCCGGTTGCGGTCGGTGGATCAAGCCGTTGCGCGGCGTCAAGCAAGGCTGCTCTGTGTCGTGTTTGCTCTTTGTCATCTCGATCGAGTTGTTGAGGCAAATGCTCCACGACGCGCCCGGGCATGTCATCCGGCAGTGCGACAACACGGTCCTGACGAGCATGGTCTTCGCGAACAACTTAACGCTCTTGTTGGCGTCCAAGGCTGACGCGAAGGCCCAGATGCGCTTTGTCGACGAGTTCTGCAAGGCCTCCAGCGCGGCGCTCTACCTCGCGTAGTGTGACGCAATCATTCTGGAAAAGACGCCGCCCGGCGACGACGGTGTGATCGCTGCTCAAGTCTGCACCTGCACCTGCAGCCGACGTGGCTGCCGCTCAATCTGCACCTGCGCCCGGTGCCGATGGGGCAGACGCACGTGCACCGGCTGACGCTGCAGTGGTCGACCCGGACGCCGCTCTTGATCCCGACAACGACTCAGACCCCGCGTCCAACGCCGGGACAGACGAAGAAGAAGCCGTCGAGGCAGAGGATAATGACGCCTAGGCGTTGCACCTGAACTGGAAGCAGCAGAGCTAGTGGCCGCTGTTGGCCACGAGCCGAGACGCATGTCGCCCGAAGCCGAGCCAGTCGCCGCTGCAGAGGCGCTGCCCGCCGTGGTTGATGCTCCGGCTGCAACGCCTATCCTCAACATCGCCCCAGGTGTCACGCCCGTGCGCTTTCTCGGCGTATACTAGTACGTGGGAAACCGCATCGACTCAGCGTACCATTTGCAGCTCATCTCTGACCGTTACTACGCGAGCTTCCAGCACTGGAGCCATTAGGCGCGGACGCGAAATGACGACTTTTCTTTGCGTCCTCGGTCATGGTTTCGCTCCTGTGGCACGTTATGGCAGCGGTCGTGATTCCACCCCAGACCATCACGGCGTGGGAGCAGACGCTCACGAGCTACGTGCTGGGATGCAAGCGCGACCCGAGAGAGCCGTACCAGTAATTGCGAGTGGACCAAACGCGTCGCGGCGCCACCTACGCACGACAGGGTCACCAACATGCCCGTCTGGCTCACGACGTATGAGCCAATGGCCATTAGACAAAGTCCGTTGCACTACCAAGCTCGTCAAGCATACCCTGGGCTGGCTATGGTGCTTGCACGGGGCCGACAACGGGTTCCGGGCGCTCTGCGACTTTACGACACCGAGCGGTCACTGATTCACATGGGAAGAATTCGCGGCACGCGTGCGCCCCGACAACCCCGCGACGCGCCTGCGCCTAAACCGAGCAGACTGGATCGTCATCTCCGTGGCTCGAGACACTGCGGCCGCCTAGAAGCACCTGTGTGCCGTTTACGACAAGGTGCGCTGGCTGCACATCATTGGCACTGACGTACCGCCGGACGCCCGGTGACAACTTTGCATCCGTTCAGGAAGACCATCAAGGACGTCGTGACGCCCTTCGAGAACTGCCCCGACGCGACCTCGGCGACTTGGCCATACACACACCCGCGCCAATCCGTCCGCATCCGTTGCTGTTGGCAACGCGCCGGACCGACGACGACGTCAAGACGTATCTTGCGCACATGCGTCGCTTGATGTACGTCGCGGCGCCAGTGCACGCCGACGTCTGCTTCCGCCTCGTGATGCGGATCCTTCCAGTCAACTCGCGCATGCACTACATCCAGCACCAAGAGCCCGACCCCGTTTTGTGATGTTATGGCTGTGGCGCCGTGGAGACGAAGGTGCACGCATTCTTTACGTGTTCGCACGTTTACCCCATGCGTTTACCCCATCTGAAAGTGGTACGACAAGGCAAGGCGCATAGTCGCGGCTGTTCAGTGGCCTCGCGTCACTGATTTCTGCCAGTTTCTCGTTCACGCATAGCATGCAGCGCGACGCGACGAGCAGCACCAGTTGTTGGCCTTGGCCGTTGCCGCCACGGTCCATCTCATCTATATGCGGCGCAATGGCGCCAAGTTTCATACAACATGCGGTGATGCCAACCGCACGTGCTTCACAACATCATTTTTCTTACTTGCAGGCCTCGATCCGGCACCGGCCAAGTTCACTCGACACCACGTCACCCGAGCATAAGCAGTTTGGATGATCTTGACGGCGCAGCGATGCGCACAAGATATAATTACGTACGCATCGCTGCGCCGTCGGCCGAACCGATGGATTGCAAGGTCTGATGCGCCTTTCATTAGTGATTAGGTTGAGCCCTGTGGTTCTACGACCACACTCCTGTTCACCACACTCCTGTTCGGCAAGATGTTTCGGGAATGTTTCATAAATCGTGTTGCGGAGAAGCTTGAGATACATCATTGGCCGCGAGGCGCTGCTACTTTAGAGAAGCCTCAGCCAATCAGGTACAACTCATATGCATCACGAACAAGGGTGCTTCCATCGCTACATAGAGTTGATGCGAATTGGAAATCGGTTTACAGTCCCTGAGCTACGCGTTGCCTTGAGCAACCATTGTGCAATTTGTCATACAACACTGTCCTAGCGAAGATGTATTGCGAACAACAAACACATTCATTGGTTTGAGCTAAATAACAGCGAACACACGGATGAATCAATAGCATGCTCCGCATGTAGTAAGTATCATGCGCTGATACGGTGAACGATTTTCGTGGTGAGCGGCAAGCTGCCGGAATTCCAGTCGCACTCGCACACTACCTGCAACATGGGCTTGGTCGGAAAGAACACAAAGAGACGTTTCCAGGAATGCTAGCCGGTGCGTAGCAGCAATGAGAGCAGTGAGGTGGGGGTGGCTTCGATTCACCTGCAACCGTGTTTTCTTCTAGCGGTCTGCGCAAACGGAGGTGCCCTGCGTTCGCAGGCTGGGTGGCTTGTCCGCTGAAGACGCTTTAACCCCTCAGAGGCAGCATAACAACCGAGATGTAGGCTAGACGAAGCAGTTAGCATGTCTCCGTACTAGGGTGAGCCCTCTATCGCTACGGCATCACTCGTTCTATTAGGGTGAGGTAGTCGTTCAAGAGTAAGTTCGTACTTGCTACATATATGTATGACG